TTGAGAAATAGTGTTTTGGGAGTTCGTATCCATTGATCAAAAGGTCTTGTAAACAATACCGAAATTGGGATGTTGCATTACCATCATCTGTGGAACCTGTAAAACTTTGGGGGATTTGTTTGTTCATGCAACAGAGCCTTGTTTAGTGTTGTGTGAATGCCGGGCATTGTTCCAGGTAAGGAGGTGTAGGGCAACAGTTAAGACAAGCTTTGCTCTTGTTCAGGTCTACTACTAGACAAATTCTCCAGTGAGGAAGCATTTCATACAGGGATGCTGTAGATTGCACAGAGCAGACAGCAAACGTTATACAGGTGGTAGTTGGGTTGGCTACATTATCCTTGTTTGATTTTTTTCCCCCCCATTAGGCTGCCTTGGAGTTTTCATAAGGAACCGCTGCTGTTGGAGGTGCTGGATGGTCCCTTCATCTTTGAAGCATTACACTTGCTGGAATCCATTTCCAGGATCAAGAGTCAGCTGCCCTCTTGCAATGGGCTGCCGAGAAAACCACTGTGCTTTTTTTTAACGTTGGGCTCTGTCTATGACCAGTCTGAGAGGCTACCTAGCACGTTGCCTCTCCTGGGTCTTTTGCTGCCTGGAAAGCCCTCTCTGTCCCCAGGCTCGCTTCACAATTTTGTCTCGTCGGAGTCATATCCCCTGGACACCTGCGGATGTGGATGTGAACCATGTCTAGGCCCAAGGGACTGTTATGGCTCCCGTTGTTTTTCACCCCGGTCTGCGTCATGTTAAACTCCAATGTCCTCCTGTGGATAACCGCCCTGGCCATCAAGTTCACGCTCATTGACAGCCAAGCTCAGTATCCAGTTGTCAACACCAATTATGGCAAAATCCGGGGCCTAAGAACACCATTGCCCAATGAAATTTTGGGTCCAGTGGAGCAATACTTAGGGGTCCCCTATGCATCACCTCCCACTGGGGAGAGGCGGTTTCAGCCCCCAGAACCTCCTTCCTCATGGACTGGGGTTCGAAATGCCACTCAGTTTGCAGCGGTGTGTCCCCAGCACCTGGACGAGAGGTCTTTATTGCACGATATGCTGCCCATCTGGTTTACCGCCAATTTGGATACTTTGATGACCTATGTTCAAGATCAGAATGAAGACTGCCTTTACTTAAACATCTATGTGCCCACAGAAGATGGTAAGTACTTTATCTAAACAGAAAAACAACACCAATCTGACGTCACGAGAGAGGTTTGCCAGGAAGGGTTTGTGATGTTCTGTGTATATTTTCTATAATGCATTTATTATTTTTTTTCACATTCCTAATGCACGTTACTGTAGCAACTTATCATGTGTTCCATTTATATTTACTGAGCGCCTAGTGGATTGACAATACTATAACTAATGACTTTAGTTATTTTCATATATTGCTTTCTTCACATGGTTAAAGTGTTTATTTGCAGATGATAATCGATATGAGCATACAGTGTTATTTGTTATACCTTAATC